TTTTCAAGATCTTCCTCTTTTTTCTTCCTCAGTAAATCATTTGCAGAGATGTTCATTTTACCAAAGAGGCATCTTTTGTTTTGTTTTAAAGTAAAATTCTTTCAGCAAAATCTTAATTGGGGAAGGGTGGATTAAGAATACATATATCCAAATTCACTTCTATAGGAGTTTAGTGATATATATGTGAGTAAAGGTATGGAAGAATTCTTGAAGGTAATCCTTTGGTGTGAAGGATCCTGGGAAATCCTCTCAGGTAAGGAAAGCAGATGTGTAATATATGTCTTGAGAGCTATTTATAAGAAATTTAAGAGGATTGTTTTGTTTTCATTAATTAAAGATTTAAGGGTTTGTTTTTTTTTTTACTTTATAAAGAAAATTCTACAAAAATTTTATAGTCATAACTTTGTTAATTTTTTAAACTTTTCTGAAATAATTAGCTGTAGCCAAATTATGTGGTTATGTTTTACAGTATTAGAATTTTAAAAATGTAATATATGTGGTAAATCTACTCTGAAATTTATAATGGTCTCAGATATGATTAGAGTTTTGGTAACTTTTAAACATTTCCCCCCTTTAGTCACAAAGGCAACTATGGACTTATATTTGTTTTTTGAATGCTAATTTTTCTATGAAGCATCTGAAGTTGACCAGTCTTTTCCTATGTAGAAAACTCAAAACTTGTTAACTCTGTACTTTAATAAAATTTGAAACTGAAAACCATGTTGTTTTTTCTCCCTTCTGTTGGACACATTTATAATTAAAAGTCTTGCAAGTTGTGTTTTCCAAGATGTTGCCTTCAAATGTTAATCGTAGAGGGGAAGGGAGGAAGAGAGAGACAGAGAGAGAAACATTGATGTGAGAGAGACACATCAATTGGTTGCCTCCCACATGGGCCCCGACCAGGGCTGGGGATCAAACCTGACTGGACTTGAGCCCAGGATTCTTCAATCTGAGGGTGGGCTGACACTCTATCCACTGAGCCAAACCGGCTGGGGCAGTGGTCGGCAAACCGCGGCTCGCGACCCACATGCGGCTCTTTAGCCCTTTGAGTGTGGCTCTTCCACAAAATACCACATGCGGGCGTGCACGTACAGTGCGAAGTTGTAAGTAAAGTTTATTAAGTTAATTTTAGGGAGCGTTGTGGAGTGAAAGAAGATGTAGTGTCGAGGATTGAGAAAGGTATGTTGAGATGGTGTGGACATATAGAGAGGATGAACGAAAGGAGATAGACGAAACAAGTATACAAGACGAGTGTGGATGGGAGAGTTGGAAGGGGTCGACCTCAGCGAACGTACCTCAATCAGATTGAGGACGTTTGTAGCAAAGGCCAGCTTAGGAGTACCCTAATGAAGTTAATAACAATGTACCTACCTATATAGTTTAAGTTTAAAAAATTTGGCTCTCAAAAGAAATTTCAATTGTTGTACTGTTGATATTTGGCTCTGTTGACTAATGAGTTTGCCGACCACTGGGCTAGAGCAATCAACACTCTCTCTTTCTCTTTCTCTCTCTCTCTCTCTCTCTCTCTCTCTCTCTCTCTCTCTCTCTCTCTTTTAAAATATATTTTATTGATTTTTTACAGAGAGGAAGGGAGAGGGATAGAGAGTTGGAAACATCGATCACCTGCCTTCTGCACACCCCCTGCTGGGGATGTGCCTGCAACCAAGGTACATGCCCTTGACCAGAATCGAACCTGGGACCCCTCAGTCCACAGGCGGATGCTCTATCGCTGAGCCAAACCTGTTAGGGCAATCAACTCTCTCTTAAGCTTCTTAGAGTCTGTTATGTTCTCAAGAACAAAAATACAGACATGGAAACCCAGGCTTTTTAGCTTCTCTGTGGCTGAAAGCCCCATGGCCTGCTTCCTTTTTCATATGCTTATGCTAGTGACACACTGTCTTAAATATGAGAATTAGGGTAAGTCTTTAAAGAAGGTAATGAGTGCCCTCCAATGTGATTCTTTTTAAATATTTGGGTATTCTGTGTCTTCTGCATTTCCCTTTAACATTTAGAATTAGAGCCTGGCCAGTGTGGCTCAGTGGTTGAGCATCGACCTGCGGCGATCCCCAATGTGGGGGTGTGCAAGAGGCAGCCGATCAATGGTTCCCTCTCATCATTGATGTTTCTATCTTTCTCTCCCTCTCCCTTCTCTGAAATCAATTATACACACACACACACACAAGTTTAAAATTAGATTTAACTTGTCCATTCCCTTGATTGGAATGCCATTGAGTCAGATCAGTTTGGGAAGAGTTGCCATCACAGCAACAGTAACTCTTCTAATTTATGGTTACAGCTTTCATGTATATAGATCTTTTAAATTTTCCTTAGTAGTATTGTATATCACTCCTGTTTTTATTAATCTTGATACTTCTAATCCTCATTTTTATGAGATTAGTTTCCTGAGTTTTACTAACAAAATTTATCATCTCAACTGTTTAAAGTGTGCAGTCAGTAGGGTTAGGTACATCCACGTTGTTGTGCGATCAACCTCCAGAACTGTTTCCATCTTTTGAAACAGACTGTATCCATGAAACAGCAGTCTCTCCTCCTTTCCCACTAGCTCCTGGAAACTACCATCCTACTTTTTGTCTCTGAATTTCTCATCTGCTCAATTTTTCCCTGTTTCTTCCCTGATAGATGCTGACACTGTTGACTTTGCATGTTTCATCCATCCCAGATGTACTTTGGGGTTCACCACTTTTTTGTGGTAAATGTTGTCCATGGGTTTTGGGTCGTGTTCTTATGTGGGGATTCAGGAAGATCCATTCACTCTTGAGTTGAACTGCAATAAGGCTTTCACACACACCTTTTCTCAGACACTGATTTTTAGGGTCATTGGTAACCTCCATGTTGCTGAATTCATTGTCCTCATCTTATTAGACCTATTGGACTCGACATGGTTAATTCAATTACAAACCTTATTCAGATTTAACTGATTTTTACATTCACTCATCCCCACATTTGAAAGTGATTATTGTAGTTATTCTGTTTCTGTTCACATTGCACTTAAAATCATGGGATTTTTTAGTTCTCAAGTCTCTGCTCCCACAAAACCACACCCCAGGAATCACCCCAGGAACATCATCCATCCATGACTGGACCTGATTTAGTTATTAGCTCCTCCTTTTGGGTCATACTAACTTATTCCATGTTGAAAGGCCTGATTTGCAGCTGAATAGTTCAGCCTGCTCCCCACTCACAAATGGTTGGGAGCCCAGTGACTTCAGTTTAAACTATTATTTTAGTGCAAGCTGGTTGCGTTTCTGTTCAGTTCTCTTAAAAACATTGTTGTCTGTGAATCTTCACTGTTAACTAGAAACCATCCCCACCAGTCTTTTCCAGATACAGCACCCCTCCACTTTGGACTACAGGGCAGAGCTTGATATACCCATATTCTTGCACAAGCTCTTTGCTCTATTGTCTAGCTGACAAGATTAGAAGGCACACTTTTAAGATTCTTAGAAACATTTTTCCAGCCAGGAGTACATGAGAAGCATTTTCTGAGATCTTTTTTTTTTCTTCAATATATTTTCTTGATTTTTTTACAGAGAGAAAGGGAGAGGGATAGAGAGTTAGAAACATCGATGAGTGAGAAACATCGATCAGCTGCCTCCTGCATACCCCCCTCTGGGGATGTGCCCGCAACCAAGATACATGCCCTTGACCGGAATTGAACCTGGGACCCTTGAGTCTGCAGGCTGACGCTCTATCCACTGAGCCAAATCGGTCAGGGCATTTTCTGAGATCTTAACAAGGGGTTTTATCTTGACCCTGAGGTCATATTTATATATATAACTTTTTATTTAATCCAATATACCCAAATTATTATTTTAACCTCTGAGATTATATTTTACTTGTGGCATCTTAGAAATTATAAGTAGCTAATAATAAAAGTGTTGTTGAAAAATACTTCATTGAGTGTTTCAGATGTTAAATAAAATTAATTAAAAAAACGACAGGGTGTCCTATATATATATATATATATATATATATATATATATATATATATATATATACAGACTTTAATAGCTGATAATAATTTTCATTCCTTTTCAAGTTTAACTGATTTGAAATAATGGGTGAAGCCAGACTAAGCTTTGAACAAAGAAAATTTGTCTACTAGTCTTTTTTATGGGGATACATAAAAGATAAAGTTTAAGGTACAAAAATGGCAAGTTGACGAACAAAATTATTCTTGACGTTTACGATTCCATTGCTTGGCATTATCAGCAGTGCCTGGATCAGGACAGTCATCAGTTTGAAAACAGGCATTAACTAAAAAATTACTCATTTCTGTAGATTCTTTTTAATTTTGAAAATGAACTGTATGTTAATAAACACTGTCTTTATAATCATTCAAAATGTGTATACATTTTTTGGAGAACATATGTATACATATATAGTGCAATCCAAATCCTGTGTGTGTAAAGTATTACAGAAAAAGTTTTTCAGATAGTTGTTACAATGGTAAGACTTTATCAAGACTATTGCAATGGGGGTTTTGCAATAGGGCAGAGAGCTTAGGTTCAACTCTGAATACAAGGACAAGTGGGGATTTATAGCTAGTGAGCAGAGGGAGGGGATCCAGTGGATGGAAAATTAAGGAGACACCAGGGTAAGGGGATTCTTGCTAAAAGTAGGTCAAGGATTTTTACATCGAAGGAGGGGGTTGAAGAACTTGATCAGATTTCAAGGGTGGGGGCACTCTTGCTAAGTTTGGCTATATGGGCATGGTGAGGACAGGATGGCCACAGAAGGCCAAGGTCAAGGTGGAGTCAAGAAGAGGGCTCAGAGGAGCCTGACTGAAGTTTGGTCCAGGAGGGAGTCTTGGTCAGAACGTACACCTTGCGCACTCAGAAAATGTGCCCGTGTTCACCTCCTGTTTTGTCTCCACAGCAGTGCCCCCACCCTACTACCCTCCCCCCCCCCCCATATTTTTGGAATTGTTCTCAAGGTTATAGCAGGAGCAGCTATGTTTTCATTGACCCAGGAGAAGATTTTCCATCTAAGCTGGCCAATCAGCCTCTCTGGAATTTGGACTTGGAACTGACAGTGCAGCTTTAGACTGACTGTTAACTTGAACCAAGGAGTCGGGAAACTTGAAAGATGTTGTTAGTGACTATTTTAGGCATTATGGAAAAACCAATTTGCAGGAAGACAGAGGATTAAGGCGGTTGTGCAGTTGTGAGAGTGGGGCAAAGAGAGAAAAAAAGAATAGATTTCTTAAGGTGATCCAGTCCCCAGTTCTATTACATTTCGGAGGCCCAGCTTAAATAATGATGATAGCTAATGTTTATTGAGCACTTGATGTGTGTCTGGTGTAATTATTACAGTGATCCTATAGACATTCTAGTTCTCATTTTACACATGAGGGGGAAAAGCAAACTTCTTAAAATCCTTAAGTGCAATTGTTACAGAGGCTGCCAAATCTCACCTCTCCCCCTACCCTCTTTCCCATCTCCTTTCTTTCCTATCCCCAACCTCCACCCACCCACCCCCACTCAAGGTCTTCCCCTTTAGGTCAATTTCCCACTTTTCTATGGAGAGCTTTTTCTCGGGCTTCTCTGTTTGGATAATGATTATATCAGTAAGGAATTGCAGTTGAATAACAGACTGGACCTCAGTAACTTAAAAACCTTGGATTTGGGCCCTGGCCGATTTGGCTCAGTGGATAGAGCATTGGCCTGTGACCTGAAAGGTCCCAGGTTCAATTCTGGTCAAGGGCACATGCCCGGGTTGTGAGCTCGATCCCCCGTCGGGGACTTGCAGGAGGCAGCCGATCTATGATTCTCTCTCATCATGGATGTTTCTATCTCTCTCTCCCTCTTCTTCTCTGAAATAAATAAAAATATGTTTTAAAAAACCCTGGGATTTGGGTTCAAGGATGTCAGACCAAAGGTTACTGTGAATTCCTGGCTTTTCTTTTGTGGCCTCCAGGGGCTGCTTTGCAGACACATCTTATTTACATTCCAGGCCAAAGACCAAGGAAGGACTGAGGGCTCCCTGGGGAGAAGCACATTGAACATTTTAAGGCAGGAAATTTGAGGGTCTGGAATATCTTGTTTTTGCCAGAAAATAATACTTTCAAAGACCCTTTTGTAACAAGCTAAGTTATGTCTAGTAATTGTTACAGTATTTTATGTGCGTTTTTCTGCCTTTTAAGGTGAGTGAAAGACTTATGAATAGGACATAATAATAAAAATTCCAAAGAAGATACAGGTAATTAAATTTGAAATCATTTTTTAAGTTATAATTTATTAAATTCATAAGGTTAAACTTTAGATTTAGTGTGTTTTAACTGTTTAGGAAGATTTTGTCTATAGAAATATTAGTTCTTTTTGGGTGTTTGAAGGGCTTGAGAAAATTAGATGTATTAAAATTAGATTACACTTTAAATTTTCCAAAATTTAATTTTTTAAATTTGATAAACATTTGAATAGACTTTATCAAATGTATAAATAGGCATAAAATAAAATAAAATATTAACAGAAAATTAATTCCATTTGTAAATAACAAGTTTAAAGGCTTAGAAACTAAGTTTTAAAATATACAATTTAAATATGTAAAACATAAGTTGAAACTCAACTTATTTATATCAATGCATAAAAGCTCTCTTTAGACATAAGGAAAACTCAGGAAACACTTGGGTGTATAGGTCAGTGTAGGTAAGTTATAGTTCTATGTTAACAAGCAACTCCAACAGCCTCAGTGGTAGACAGTGATAAATGGTTCTGACTCATGTCTCAGGTCTACTGTAGTCTAGTTCTTACTCATGTCATAGATCTGTTGTCTGTCTGCAGCTCTGCTCAGAGTTCTCTTCATTCTGAGAGCCAGGCTGATGCTGATAAAGTGCTGCAAAATAGCCCATTTCGGCTGAAGGATTATTTTGAACTGAAGGCAATTGAGAAGCAGATACAAGAAAAGTTCTGTGCCTTCTCCCTATTTGCCTAAAAGCAGAACATTCTTTTATAAAGGTGCGCTTCCTCCTCTCTTTACAGAAAGGACAAAAGTTAATCCCCAGAAGCAACTTTAAACCCTTATCAATGGAAAAGGCACTACCTTAAATCTGCATAACAAACCTTATTCTTGTTTACCACACTTTCCCTGGGTACTTCCCCATAATTGGCCTCCCCACAACTTTAGCAGAAGATATTTAAGCCTGAGTCCTGAACCACTCCTAAGAGTTATTCTTTTTCCCTGGATATCTCCCATGTGTACATGAGGTACACGTTAATTAACTTTTATTTGTTTTCTTTTTGTTATTATGTCTTTTATTATAGGGGTCTTGGCTAAGAGCTCAGAAAGGAAGAGAAAAATTATTTCTTCTCCCCTACAGCATATCAATACATTTTTGTTTGTTTTATTTTTCTCTTCTTAATCTCTTTTGTTGTATAGGTCCCAGCCTAGAACTTAGAAGGATGAAGGAAAATTATTTTTCTCTCCTACACTCATGGAAGAGAAAGAGAACATGGTGGAAACACATGGTGTCTCTTAGAACTTCTGCTTAAAGGTGGCATTCTTCACTTCTATTATCACTGCATTGATCAAAGCAACTCTCATGAACAATCTTTTTTAAAAAACTTATTCATTGATTTGAGAGAGAGAAACATCAATTGTTTTACCACTTATTTATGTGTTCATTGGTTGCTTATATGTGTCCTGACTGGAGATCAAACCTGCAACCTTAGTGTATCAGGACTATACTCTAACCAACTGAGCTACTCTGCCAGGGCCTCGTGGACAATCTTGAGGTCAACTCAGTGGGGTTACATAATCCTCCCACAAGGAGTTTGCCATAATCACATACCCAAGTCTGATGCAGTGAGGCAGGGAAGTATTATCTTCCCTCAGGCAGGGCAGCAATTATTTTGAATAATAATACACTCTATCATAATGGGAATTGAAATTTTTAAAAATTCTTGCAGTTTACTTTTTCCCTGTAATATATGTTGTCAATGTATCCTAATGTATAGACGTGATTATTTTATTCTTTGGGGAAATGTCTATAATGAATATATATTTCTTTTGTAGCTAGATTAAAATTTATAAATTTCATTTGGACAAAATAGGCAATGTATAAATAATTTGTGGCTTTTAATATAGGAAGGGTGAAATGTATAAAACAGGGTTTTAGAAAGATATAACTCACAACATTGAAGAAAAATAATATACTTTGGAGAGCTTGTATTTTACATATGTCTCTATTCAACCTGTCTGCTTTAAAAAAGGGTGGCTATGAAATGGAATGTGTTTGTTAAATAAATAAATAATAAATCAGTAAATGATGAATGTTGGTTAGTTGGTTGGGGAGAGCATAGTCTCCCAATAGCTTAGAGACAGCCTGTATTACAAGATGCATTCTTTTGTGGTTATCTGGCTGATGTCATGAAATCTGACTTTCGCCAGTAGGGAAGATTATGTTTCTCCTTGGCAGGAAACCTCATATTTAGTACATCTTGGATCTCATTGCATATTGTCACAGCAAAACCTCAGTGCTTAATTGACTCTTCATTTGCTTCTGGCTTTTAGTCAGTACTGTACTGATCTTACTAGCTTTTTGTAATCCAAATTGGATCTCTGCCTAGTTGTATTTTTCTGTCCCAATTCTTCTTGGTGGTCGAAATTAACTCATTTTTAGTTCGCCCCCAACCCCACCATTTTGGTTTTTCATTGTATTGAACTGAATTTTCAAAATGATGACCCTAAAGGATTCTTTTCTTCCTCTGAAAAAAAGGTATGGTGGAAGGAAATGAAGACTCTCTAAACAAGAACAATAAAGGCTACCTGAGCTTCTATGTGGCTGGGGAGTCAGCCACCTTCACTTGCACTTGGCAGACTCAAAGGCAGACAGGGGCGTGGAAAAGCTTGACAGTAGAAAAAAGGCAGACTTCATTCGACTCTGATTGGCTGCTGGTGGCACAGGGAAGTTCTAGGTGGGCTAACTAGCAGTGGGGCATTCCATGTTACTGATCGGAAGGCACTTCTAACTTTCTCCAGTCAGTCCTAAGTTGGAAGGAGGGACAAAAATTAGGGAAGCTGTGAGTTATTAATAATCAAGTCCTGGCCATTTTGGGTTGATTGCTACAAAGGTTATTATTTGGCTTCCTGGAATAGTTACTACAGGTTGTGGATCAGAGTTCTATTTTGATGTATAAGCAGGCCATTGTGCATTTGTATATTCCATAGTTCATAATGATACCTTTACTGGGAGCTTTTAAAAACTTAAACTCGCCTAGTTAAGGAAGGGGGGGGGGGCAGTTGGCCCTATGCAATTATCAGTAACTTTTCCTTTCTCTTGTTTGTGTCAGATATCATCGTCACCTTCATCGTTACTAACATTGGAGCACCTAACATATGCTAGGGACCAGGCCAGCCTATGTTACAAATGAGGTGGTTTCCCATCTGTGGTGGTTCAGCCAGTAAGTGACACAGTAGAACCGGGACGAAGGCAGGATAAGAGGAAGTTAGGGGGAAATCCTGACAAGTGGGATGAGTAACGGGGAGCTGACATCCTCTTACCAGAGCCTCCACTGCTGGGCAGGATCGAAGGGAAACAATTAGTGGTAGGAAATCCCTCCCAACCAGAAGGCAGAGTCAGAATTTGACACCACAAAGCTTGGAGACACCTCCCCCACCCCCACCCCTACCCCCTCCGCCCAAACACATAAAATTCCAAGAACTGGCCACGTGCACAACTCACTCTCCAGTTGGCCCGTGTCCCCTCTGCCACATACTTTTTGCTTCTTTCACAGTGGCACCTGTGCCTTGGCCTCTTTCTTTTTCTCTATTCCAGCAGTTCTCAACCTGTGGGTTGCGACCCCTTTGGCAGTCCAACGACCCTTTCACAGGGGTCGCCTAAGACCATCTGCATATCAGATATTTGCATTATGATTCATAACAGTAGCAACATTACAGCTATAAAGTAGCAACGAAAATAATTTTATGGTTGGGTCACAACATGAGAAACTGTATTTAAAGGGCCAGAAGGTTGAGAACCACTGCTCTATTCGAATAAAACTCGCTCTATTCTTATTCTGTTTCATCTTTGAAATCTGTCCTGGGCAAGTGAAGGGCCTGACTTAGGACTGACTGAGGTTGCCCAGCTAGGGAAAGGTCCCCAACTGTGCAGGGGCAAGGCCAGCTCCCAGCTCCAAAGTGGTCTGGTAACCAGTCTGTCTACCCTGAGTCTCAGCCTTAGCCATTCCCTTTCAGTTAGTTTTCACGCTCATGCTTAGTCATTGTAGTTAAGGGCTCCACCATTTCAGGTGGCCAGAGCCAGAGTGTGTGTGTGTGTGTGGGGGGGGGGGGGGGCGTGAGTAACAGTCTCCATGAACCTGAGTCTTCTGGAACTGTTCAGCGGTTTCCAATCAGTGCCCTGCAAGAATTTTTAAAACATACAAAACCTGACTTTAGTCAGAGGCACTGACCTCTTTTCCCTTAGACTGAGAAATAAAAAAAATGACAACAGCCAACATGACAATAGCCGTTTAGTGTGAATGAATCCAATTATACCTTTTTTGTGTGTCTGTCAGATTGGCAAAAAATATATTCTGCTGTGCCGCAAAATTTTAGTAATTAGTTTATGTGAGCCACGAGAAGAATAGCGGAAAGCACTAATCCTACTCTTAAAATTGAGTCTAAAGAAATATTTTTATGTGAAAATCTCTGCTGTGGTAGATGGCATCCCCCACCCGGCCAGCAGAGGCCTGGCTCCGCGATGTTGGCGAAGGAGTGAGTGAATAGCTGGAGGAGGGTGTGACCTCCTTGCCGGAGCCGGTCCATCCTTGCTGTTTCAAGGGACCTGGCATATATGGCATACTGTTCTTAATATGTTTGCTCACCTTCTTGGCACTATGTGTTTTAACCAAGGTCACCTCTCTGAGAAAGGTTGTTTCCCCAGGTAGGGATTTTCCCCTGAAGTTAGGGTGGGAATAAAACCCCTTAACTAAGTGCCAGGCAGGTAATTAATCACTTTAACTACGAACAATCATGCTTAAGCTACGTAATCTTTACTCCCTGGAATGGAGATAAGAAACGCCCTAACCTTTGGAATAGAGATTGATAGGATTGGAATCAACTGGTATAAATACAGATGTAACAAGACAACAGGACACAGAACCTAGACACAGAACCTACACAGAACCTAGAGACAGAAGAACCTTGCTAGAGACAGAACATGGCAAAAGATCCTGGACAGAAGCTGGCCCCAGAACCTAGAGACAGAACCTGGCTACAGAACCTGGATAGAACATGGCAAGAGAACCTGACTAGAACCTGGTGACTGAACCTAGCAAAAGATCCTGGACAGGACCTGGCTACAGAACTTGGTTGGAGAACCTAGCCAGAACCTGGTTGAAGAACCTGGCTACAGAATCTGGTGACTGAACCTGGCTGGAGAACCTGGAGAACCTGGCTGGAGAACCTAGCAAGAGAACATGGACACAGAACCTGGCTGGAGATCCTGACCAGAACTTCACTGGAGATCCTAACCAGAACTTGGCTAGAGATCCTGGCTAGGCTGCTGATCAACTGAACACTGTCTCCGTGTCATTCCTTCTTCGCCAACTCCGTCCACACCTTTGGGGAACCCTGGACCTGCTGGGGTTGGACCCCAGCATCTGGCGCCCAAACAGCAACCCCTAGGTAAGCCCCACTCTTGGGATGGATAGGACTCCACCGTAGGAAGAGGGTGGATAGTCTTCACCAACTCCATCCACACCTTTGGGAATCCCTGGAACAGGATTCCCCTAGGTAAGCCCCCCCCCCCCCCAATTGAGAACCCCACACTCGGGACGGATAGGACTCCACCAGGGTACTGCAGACCCCCCTATAAAGGATAAGTAGGGTAAGAAGGTGGATAGTACAGAACTTAGATTGAGAAGATGTGCCATACTGAGTCCAAAGAAAGAAGACTCTGTATTGATTCTTAGATTGAGAAGATGTGCCATACTGAGTCCAAAGAAAGAAGACTCTGTATTGATCTTTAGATTAAGAAGATGTGCCATACTGAGTCTAAAGAAATAAGACTCTGTATTGATCTTTTAACACATATGCTTGCTAGCAGAGGAATTAAGGTTACTCCCAGTCAGACAGAATGTTTTATACAAGAAGTATGTCCATGCTTTTCTGAGGAAGGAAAGGTAAATGTAAAGGCATGGGAGGAGGTAGGCCCAAGGAGCCTTATCCTTAACCCCACTGCAGCCTTTCCACCCCGGGAAAGTGAAGGATTGGCAAGCTCTCCCTGGGGTGATAGATCAGGACTCAGGTAATAGCGGAAAGCACTAATCCTACTCTTAAAATTGATACAAGAGAGCATTTGGGGTTTTTCTTTTTAATGCCTGCTTTTAAAAAATAAAAAAGGGGGAATTTGCCGGGAGCCGGTCCATCCTTGCTGTTTCAAGGGACCTGGCATATATGGCATACTGTTCTTAATATGTTTGCTCACCTTCTTGGCACTATGTGTTTTAACCAAGGTCACCTCTCTGAGAAAGGTTGTTTCCCCAGGTAGGA